GTTTAACATTTGGTGAGCAACAAGGATAAACGATGCATTATGCGCACCATGCGAGAAACGGAACGCACCCATAGACATTACAGATGCCGAAATATTCATGCAGATATTCTGTATATCTATTTATACATAATATTAGAATTTTATGTGTATCGTATAATGTGTGTATGTATACATACAGTTTAATTTTATTATTACATAAACAGACATTAGTAAATATGAAGTACAGTTACATTTTATATAATAATGTGTGCACATAGATCAGTGTACACAAAATATTATTCTATTATTGCATATAGATGCATAAGTGATACATATGCAATTCTAGAATAATACTTTTTGTATGCATTTATACATTATAATACACATATAAAATGTAATTGTACATATTCACTAATATATTTTCTTATACAGTTATATACAGTTACATGTTAGAATTAAACTGAATATAACAAATAGAGATACAAATTTCTCATGCTCAGATATTCACGCAGATATATTTACACGAAATATTAGAATTTTCTGAGTATTATAATGTGTGTCTGTATGTATGTATGTATGTATGTATATATGTATGTATATACTTCTATATATATAAATAATAAATATAAGTATACATACATACATACATACAGACACATATTATAATACAGAGACATGAATATTGTTATTAGAATGATATTTTATGTGCATTATTATGTACGCACATTACAAAACATAAAATGTATTTCTAATTCATGTCCACTATGTCTGTTTAGATGTATTGAAAATATAAAATGCACATAAAATTCCATTTAAACAGACATAGTGAATATGAATTAGAAATACATTTTATGTTTTGTAATGTGTGTATATAATAATGCATATAAAACATAATTCTAATATTCACTCACATGTCTCTATATTATAATGTGTGTCTGTATGTATGTATATACTTATATTTATTATTTATATATGTTGAAGTAAATCCATACATACATACATACAGACACATTATAATACTCATAAAATTCTAATATTTTGTGTTAATATATCTGCATGAATATCTCAACATGAGAAACTTGTATCTTTTTTTGTTACACGTAACAAAAAGAGATGAAGTAGCTACACATATGTGGATATGAATTAGAAATATATTTTATGTTTTGTAATGCGTGTACATCATATTGAATATAAAATATAATTCTAATATTCACTAATATATTTATGTTATATCTGAATATATAGATATGAGTAACTTCTATTTCTTTTTATTATGGGCCTTCTACAATAAGCCATTAGTCATGAATCAAAAGTCAGAAGCTAAAAATTGACCAATTATAGTTATCAATTTTTAACATCTGACTTCTGATATATGACTAATGGCTTATTGTGGAAGGCCCATTAGACGTAAAAAAAGAGATGGAATAGATACATATGTATGTGTGATGTATCTATGAGTTGACAATACACGTTACATCCTAAATTAAAATGGCATTGGGAATAAAGGAAAAAGTATTATTACATTACACGTGTATACATGTATTTCAAATACATGTTTGCATCCGAAGATGTATTTATATCACAGTTAGTATTCACTTAGTAAAAATATACTTATTGTAACTTGCTGTTAGTCAATGTATGCATTGACCAATAAGTATATACATTTATAATACACTTTGAATATGATATATTTATATACATTTCATGGACGTACAGCGAAAATTATGCATATGGCTATTGACCATGTAATGTATGTTATATATACCACATATATATGTATAACATATGTATTATATAGAGTATCCAAAAAGACGCCGGATTTATGGGCTGAACATAAACATGGCTATAACTAATCGTAAAGAAATGTGAATTGTACTTGTATCGGCGTACCTGCATAGTACGCCAAAATATAGTGCGTTGACTATGACCTATGACTATGATTCACTCGCGTTCTACGACTCAGTTACGGTCATCCTTATGCTAAGGGCCTTAAATAACGTTTTTAGATGAAACGTTTCAAACCAAAGTTGTAAGGTTTTAAAGGAGCTATTTACTGATATTTAGTTTGACTTTAGAAGGCGTCTCTAAGATCAGATAAAGGTCACATTTATTTTTTTTTTAATGACATGCTATTTTTATTCTACAATTTAGCAGCTGGTGTAGCTTTTCAAAACTATTTTTTTTTTTATTAAGTTCTTATTGAAATGCGAGACTTGAAAGTTACAGTATTTAACCTAGGTGTCCGACTGGCGGCATTAAAATTAAAAATTAGAGGAACAACTGCCTCTAAAACGGTTTTCCGAATCTTTTTATGTTCTTCACAACATATTATATAAAAACATATTATATAAAATAGGTATTTTATATAAAAACGGTTTCTATGCATCTTTAGCTCAGTTACTGAGATGACTTTCAATTTTTTGCATAGGTTACGAAGCTAACGATTTGTACATTCTATTTTGCTCACTGTTGTCATTTGCTCCTGATACGGTCTATTATCAATAATGGACTCAAATACGTTGCTATCACCATCGGCGATGATCGTTCTATAGATCAATTCATGCATTTCAATGCTATTTTTAAACCCTTCAACAATAGCATCACTCTCCATACTTGTAGAGCTTGCATTACGATCAAAGTTTTTGTAATACAAACCAGTACCGTAAAAATAGACATTTCTGTCGTTTATTTTGCCATTACAGTCAAGACAAACGCTTTTGATATTTTTGTCGGTATCGTCTGATTAGACGTCTCTGAGATTTATTCTATCAGTACCGTCGAAATAGACGCTTCTGACATTTATGACAAACCATAACATGCATATGATAATACAAACCAGTACCGTAAAAATAGACATTTCTGGCGTTTATTTTGCCATTACAGTCAAGACAAACGCTTTTGACATTTTTGTCGGTATCGTCTGATTAGACGTCTCTGAGAATTATTCTATCAGTACCGTCGAAACAGACGCTTCTGACATTTATAACAAACAATAACATGCATATGATAATACAATCCAGTACCGTCAAAATAGACATTTCTGGCGTTTATTTTGCCATTACAGTCAAGACAAACGCTTTTGATATTTTTATCATTATGATATTTATATTACATTTCGCATCTTGGTCCCACCAATTGTTTTTTTATTATATATATTAATAATAATAATAACTTAAATAATTACAGACACTGAGATATATTGTTTTAATATACGTTTATTTTTTTTTGTATAATGCATTATATACAATATTATCTGAAGCGCACATTATTAATTCGTGTTCAATAACTGA